CCTCACCAGGGCAGAGCAGAGGGGGAGGAGAACCTCCCTCGACCTGCTGGCCACACTCCTCTTGATGCACCCCAGGATCCCATTGGCCTTCTTGGCAGCCAGGGCACGCTGCTGGTTCATGGTCAACCTGTCGTCCACCAGGACACGCAGGTAAGTGGATGAACATACGCCATGCCTTCCAGCCAAACGGCCTCCCTCGCCGGGAGGATGGTCTCATCTTTCTACATCACTCTGCAAGTGAGACAGTGTCGCAAAAATGGCAATCCTTCTCCAGGGTCTGGGAGGAGGGCACCCAAAGCTATGTTATACTTCTACATGTGCACTGCTTTGAGGAGGTCAAGATGGCTTTGATCAGGTTGTAGGACAAGAACGAGACAATCATTTCTACCAGGTCTCTCAGGAAAGACAAACTAAGATTTAAGCTGAAGTTAAAAACACAAAACCAAGTCATTCCCCCCACAAAGCACTGCTATAAAAAAATACAACTTCTTTTATATTTCAAAAAATATGTTTCATTGGCCACAATTTAAAGCCACACTGCTGCGTGGCTCGTAGAATATATAGTATTTATTTAATATATCTTTATGAGACGAAGTTTATAGCTGATACACATTTTTAAACGAGACGTATCTCCCCCCACCCCTATCCCCCACGCTTTGGGCAGCCATCGGAGCACCCTGCAGACGCCTGCTGCGTGGGGGCTTTGCAGGGCACCGGTCGGGGGCTGCGGGCAGGCAGCCAGCCTGGGCATGTGGGGCTTCGCTGAAGGTGCCCCGAAGGCAGGCTTGCTTTGGGGAGGGGCAGAGAGCTTCATGGTCCAGGTACCTCTGAATACCTCAGTAAGGAACCACCTACCAGCTTTGCAATGCGTGGTGGGGAACCGACTGCTCTCAGAGGCCATTTAAGCTCTGGTTTCCCCATCCCACGGGACTCTGCTGGCACGACCCCATCTCCTCCCGGCCACCCCGGCAGTGCCAGGGCTGTGCAACACTACTCCGTGCATGGCATCAAGCAGAGCACCTGCGCTGGGCACCTGCCGAAACGTCAGGTCAGCAAGTCCACAGCCATAAAAGTCATGTGAAAAGGCAAGGAAGGGTTCCTGACCCAGCCCCAGGACCTCAAACCTGCCCTCAGCCCCGGAAAGCAAAGTAGGCTGCTTGGGCTGCGCGGAGAAGGAAAATGCACCAGCAAAAGACTTGCTTATTTGGGACCCAGCTGCTCCCTTGGGAAGCTGGTTCGAAGGGAGAGAGACCAAAGACGTGTCACCACCTTCTCCCCACGATGGTCTCTCCCTCCCACCTTTGCCCAGCTGTAGGCACTGGCCGGTCTCCTTGGCCAGTGGGGACCAGTACCTCCCAAGTCCAGCCTCATCTCGGTGGGCGCACAGCCATGGCTCTAGTAGGTCCACAAGCCCCGCCAGGGCAGACATCTGCACCAACCTGGACTCCGACCTCCAAACACAGTTGGAGTCACGTTAATAATTTGTCGGTAATTTTTGTAACGTTTGACCAGCAGTAGTGGCCAGACACTCAGCTTTTCAGGCGAAGCCAGCGGAGCCACCAGCGCACAGCATGCTGAGCAAATTTGGAGCTTGACGAGGCGCCATGGCCAGCACCAACAAAACCCAAGCGCCACATGGGTCACTGCCACACAGGCTTTTCCTGACAGATGGGTCTCAAGGCGTCGCATACCTCACCTGAACTGTCCTTTACTAAGAATGCCAAACCGTGGGCTGCTCTTCTGCAGGGACTGGCCACCATCAAGCTCAAACATAACAACTTCTATGGCAGTTTCCTGCTGCAAGAGGAACAAACTGATGACATACCCTGATGCCCAAACCCAAAGGCAGTGGCACCGAGCGTGATGCCACCAATGCCCTCCATGAACCGATACAAGCCCTGAGGGACGCAGCAGAAGTGCTGTCACTGCAGTGGCAGTTTGGTCCCACGTGCTCTGCAGCACATTTGCTTTAGACACATCCTTTGGGGGAATTCTTCAAGCATGCCTCAGCGGTCCTGCGTTTTTCGAACCTCAGACAACACAAGTCACAACGTGCAGCCATGTGACCAGCTGTGAAGGATACTGCCCGATTCGTATAAAACAGAGAAAATATATTAATTATTTGATTATTATAAGTTAAATAAATAAAGCTCAAAAATAAAAGCCCCCATTCTGAAGAGAATTTGTTTTCCCACTTCAGTATTTAAAAATATAGATTTATGACTGCTCAGCTACAGGTCATTTTCTGTATCTTTTGGGGGAGGGGGTGAGAACACTTTGACAAAGTGTTTTGTCACTGTTATCACCCTGATAAATGGGCTTTGCCCTTGCACACCCATAAAAAAGCCTCCTTAGTAACTTTCCAGGCTACAAAACCATCCCTAACCTCTCTGTGACTTTACCTGCTATATTGATCAGACTGGTTGATTGGTTTTTTTTTTTACTGGGGACTGGAGAGGACAAGTAATCCTAGAGCTGCCCATTACCTTTGGGTGCTTCCAGTTTTATCAGAGTAATAATTATTTGGCCTAGAGGGAGAGGGCAAAGAGTAAAGCCATGTGATATTTGACAGTCCCGACATCATGAACCTGAATTATTACAAAATGACTATCATCTTATGAGTAAAACATTCAGCTGAGGTCGTCCCTCAAAGGATCATTTGTCCTACTTGTAGAATCATCCTTCTAGGGTGATATTCAGACACTGTTTTCCCTTTCTTTAGAATAATTTTCAAGTCACATTTAGAGCTGTAAAAGTGGTCACCATTTCCTCAGCATTAACCCCTTGAAACCCTTTATGTGACCATTATGACCAGGAAATGGCTCAGAAGGACCTGGCAGCACTTGCAATGAAGCCCATCAGTGGTACTTCACACGGATGAGGCGAGCCTGTGATGAGTAACAGGAGGTGCTACTTCACCCCTGCCGCAGTGGATGAGTGCTTTGTCTCCACGGTTTCCCCAGTGACAATCAAGACATTGAAGGTACATGTCCCACCCACACTCCTGGTGTGATTAAAATGGGTTCAGCCTAAACATAAATCTTGATCAAAGGAAGGTTTTCATCCATTCTCCAGCACATCCCACATGAGCTGAGTTTCTCCTGCAACTTTGGTCAAACGTAAGCATGCATTTAAAATTTGCCTTCCGTAATTCTGAGTCCTGTCCAAGTTCCTCCACCATCGCTTTGAGCAATGGGCTTCCACCGTACTCTTCTCCAAGGGGCGTGAGTTTCTTTCCACTGGTGACTGAATGCTATGTCTGGTCTTTCTCCTGGACTTCCTGAAACCGTTTCTCCAAGCGATCCAGTTTGGCCAGATTCTCCTTCAACAACTTGCTGTTTGGAACCAGCTGTAAGGCTTTCTCATAGTAGCCACGGGCAGTGACGTAGCTCCCCTACAAAGAAAACGAGCGACAGATCTCATTCGCATTCCCTGACGCAGAAAGTTCTTCCCTTGGGAATGGTAAAGACCGCAGCACAAAGCAAAAAGAGTTTATAAAAGCTGATATTGTTAGGTAACGGGAATACGTCCTCATTAAGAGATGGATCACCAAGTGACGTTAGCCTAAATTTGATCAAATACACGTGTAAGAAGTAGATTTACATTTTTCCGTTATGTTGTACCAGAAGAGTTAAATTTTACTCAGCAGTAGGATAGCTTGAGGATATCACACAATGTGACTCCTTAAGACCCAAATCATAATGATATGCTAAAGTATTCAAAAAGACAAACAACCACAGGATGGGCTGTCTTTTTCCATAATTTTATGCCAGTATTCTGCATTAGACATCTTTATTAAATTAATTAGGTAGAGAGGAATCTTAAAACTCGACTCGGGATGACATTTTTCCGAGGTAGGTCAACAACTGAAGCGAGAAAATTTGAGAGATGAGCAGGTTGTTCCTTGCAGCCTGCCCTCTTACGAATATGGGATTTACATTACAGGATACATATTCACAAGCAAGCCGGCTGGGAAATTCTAGCTGGGGTAGACAGACTTTCCTCTTTTTCAGACAAAACATGTCAGGGTCATTCTCTGTTCACAAACATGTGGCTCTTGGCAGTCTGAAACAAATTCAGCTTTCTGGCCTGAGTAGTAGTAGTCTCTGCAGCTGACAGCTTAAGGAAACACAAAATTGTCATACCTTGATGTGCTCAATGCCTCCCATATTCATCCAGGCCTGTGCTTGGTCTGGGTTGAGCTCCACAGCCCGTTTATAGCTCTACATAAATATGAAACATTTTTAGGTTAAGAGTCTGACTCTGCAAACAAAACCAGTGCTGGAAAGGAAAGAGAAATTAAGTTTTTTCTCCTTCAGAATCCATCTAAAATACAATTTTGAATTCTTCTCACGTACAATGCACACGCTGAATTTCAGTTTCTTTACAGCAGAGACAACATAACATACTGCTTCATGGCTGAGCTCATCTCGCAGGTTTTCCCTGCCCACGGCACCGCACAAGGAGCCTCACCAACCCCTGTGACCCTCTCCCTGCCACCCTGCACGACTGGGGTCTCCTGCAGGTCAGGGTCATTGCCCTGGGCAGGCACCTGCCAACCACAAGCCATGTGTGGACTGTGATGCTCCTTATCTGCAAGGCTTTAATTCAGAGCTGGCAGCAGACTACGGTACAGCCACCTGCGTGGAGGTTTCACCAGGACCTGAGGGCAGTGCTACCCCTCCCCATTGCTTCTGCCAGCAGGACGAGGGAGGTTCTCCTTCCCCTCTACACTGCCCTGGTGAGGCCTCATCTGGAGTACTGTGTCCAGTTCTGGGCTCCCCAGTTCAAGAAAGATGAAGAGCTACTGGAGAGAGTCCAGCAGAGGGCTACGAGGATGGTGAGGGAACTGGAACATCTCCCCTACGAGGAGAGGCTGAGGGAGCTGGGCTTGTTCAGCCTGAAGAAGAGAAGGCTGCGAGGGGACCTTATAAATGCCTACAAATATCTGAAGGGTGGGTGTCAGGAGGATGGGGCCAAGCTCTTTTCAGCA